CCGGCCCGGCCCTGGGTGCTTTGGACCAGCCCCCCAGAAAGACCCTGAATGCTGGTCACCCGCCCTCTGGAGGAGGCCATGACAGGAGGGCCCTGCATGCTCCCCAGGTGAGAGAACTCATTGACAAGGTGCGGGCAGTGTTCGTGGAGGCCCTGGACGAGCTGGGCTGGATGGACGAGGCGTCCAAGAAGAAGGCCCAGGAGAAGGTGAGGCAGCCCGGCAGAGGCCTGGACAGCCACGGGCCCAGCTGGAGCTGGGTATGGCAGCACCCACCCAGACAGAGCTGCCAGAGGGCCCCAGCCAGAGAGGGCAGCCCCGGGGAGGCCCAGGGCAGACGTCACCACACCCACTTTAGAGACGAGGAAGACGAGGAGGGGACAGCGGGTCTGCTCAAGAAGGGACTGTGGGCAGAAGCAGGAATGGAAGCCAAGCCTAGGAAACCCCCAACATCCCCAGGAACCGGTGCGGGTGGCTGTGGCCTCCAGAGTAAGGGCTGGGACCCATCAGAAGCCCCTCCAGACGCTGACACACAGCAGCCAAGTGACTCCTCCTGGGCCCTTCCCCCACCCAGAGCCCGCCTGGCTTGTCAGGCTGCAGATCAGGCAGGCTGAGCTCTCCACGCACTGTCCCCATGAAACCTCTCCATGGCCCAAAAGGCAGGGCCACATGGCGAGGGGGCAGAGCCAGGATGCCCTGGGCCCCGCCCACTCCCGCTGTGGGGCGGGCACTGACCAGCCGCTCCTCCTGTCCTCAGGCCATGAGCATCCGAGAGCAGGTCGGCTACCCTGACTACATTCTGGAGGAGAGGAACAAGCACCTGGACAAGGAGTATTCCAACGTGCGCCCCTGCCCGGTGCCGGGCGATGTCCCTCGACCTCCCCCTGTCCCCCAAGCCGATCGGCCCTGAACCACCCTCTGTGCACACAGGACCCTTGATTACCTGGGAGGGGTGCTCTTTGCCAGGCACCAGGCCTTCACTAACTCAGTCATCCTCACCATGTCCTGGGACAACTCCAGCATTACCCTTAGTTTACAGATGGGGAAACTGAGGCCCAGAAGAACTGAGGAACTGGCTCAGAGTCGTGTAAATGCTCCCCGCCAGGGTTACCCGCTTCCCCCCCAAGTCCACCTACACCCAAAGCCTGTGAGCCACGTGCCAGACTGCCCGGCAAGCCTTGAAGCCCTTCCTCAACCTCTCCCTGTGTCCATCTGTGGCCCAGCCCGAGCACCTGGAGTGACTGCCCCTCTCCTGTAGCTGAACTTCTCAGAGGACCTGTACTTTGAGAATGGTCTGCAGAACCTCGAGGCCAGTGCCCAGCGGAGCCTCAAGAAGCTGCGGGAAAAGGTGGACCCAAATCTGTGAGTGGTGTGGCCAGTGTGGCACACAGGCCCCAGGAAAAGGCCAGCGTGGCATGCAGGAGCTACCTGCTGGGCAGGGTGTCTGGACACTTGGCCACAGCTGGCCCAGTGCCAGCTGGGGAGGGCCACTGGGCCTGTCTCAGAGTCCCTAGCACCCTGTGCTTTCAGGGGCCCGAGTCACTCCTCCCACAGGGCCCCAGAGAGGAACCAGATGTTGGGTTTGGACCAGGATCCTGATCTGACGTGGCACTGTGACATGGGCCTCCTTAGGGTGGGCTCTGGTCAGCCAGGGCAGGGAGGGCCCAGAGAGATGCAGGCTCCACCTGATCAGCTTGTTTATCACAGCTGGATCATCGGGGCCGCGGTGGTCAACGCATTCTACTCCCCAAATCGCAACCAGATTGGTACGTTTACCTCCACCCTCCCCAACCCCTCTAATTAGGCGCCAGAGTTGCGGGAGCAGTGAGCAGCCCCTCCCACCCTTACACCTGGGACACCCAGCCTGTTCTCAGAAGGGGAGTAGGTGCCGGTCTCTCCCACTTCACCCTGCGGTCCACCTGCTGGGCAGCTTTGCTCCTGTGCCCATGAGCAGGTCCAGAGGGATGTGTGGGACGGGGCAGCAAAGAGCCTCTACCTGAAGGCAGCACAGAACAGTGGAAAGAGGTTGCACTTGGGCCCTGGATCTGCCACACAGTAGCCCTGGCCTCTGAGCCTTAGTTTCCTCATCTGTAAAATGGGTGGGGGTGGGGGTCCTAATCTCTACCTCCGGGCTGTGGGTTAAGAGACAGGACCCAGAGGTGCTCGCCCAAGGCTGGCACACAGGAGGTGTGCCCATTCATACCTTACCCTTTGCCCTGCTCCGGGCAGTGTTCCCTGCCGGCATCCTCCAGCCCCCCTTCTTCAGCAAGGAGCAGCCACAGGCCTTGAACTTCGGGGGCATTGGGATGGTGATAGGGCACGAGATCACGCACGGCTTCGATGACAGTGGTAAGGGGTGCTGACTAGGGGTGCCCCAGAGCTGCGCCTCCAAGCCACACACACACACACACCCTCTCGTCTCCACTGAGTAGCCTGGAGGCCATCTATTCAACCCCTTTGTGAGGACACAGGCCAGGGCATGGGAGGACATGCCAGGTCCTCCAGGGAGCTGTGGTAGCAGACAAGTCTTGAATGCCAGGCTGGTCTCTGTCCAGGAAACCTGCTCCAGGCATGGAGAGGACACAAGGGCTCGATCTCATGATCCGGACTCCACCTGACAACTGGTCACTTCCCCTCCCTGGGCCTGTGAAACAGGGACAGAGAGACCACCCAGTGTCTCTGTGAAGCTCAGGGTCCTCCAGCTTAAGATGCACTGACCCCGACACGTGGAACTCCACCACTGGGGCCCCCATGCCTGGTTCTTAGGGCCTGCCACCACGAGGGCCTCAGCCGTTTTTCCCATGTGGCTTGGCCACCTTCCAAGGACAGCCCCGTGTCCTCAGGGGCCACATGCTCTCCTCACCAGGGGTTTAGAGTTTGGACATCACAGGAGGTGTTCTTAAACCATGATGCCTCTGGGACCACAGGATCCTAGACACCAGGCCCTAACCTTGGACAGTGGCATGGATAGACCACTGAAACCCTCCCTCTCTGGGGGTCCAAGTAGCCCCACGACAACGTGACGCCCCCTACAGCATGTCAATGCTCTTCAGGGCTCAGTGTCTGCTTGTGAACTGTGATCTAGACACAAGGGTGGCTGGAGGAGGTGCAGGAGAGGCTGGGCACTGGCTGGCAGGGCACCCGGCAGCCACCTCTGCTCCTGCCCAGGCCGGAACTTTGACAAGAATGGCAACATGCTGGACTGGTGGAGTAACTTCTCCGCGCAGCACTTCCAGGAGCAGTCGCAGTGCATGATCTACCAGTATGGCAACTACTCCTGGGACCTGGCAGACAACCAAAATGTGAGGTGCCACCAGCACCACAGCTGCCTGGGGACTGCGCCCCAGCCCCAACCCCGCGGGAGCAGGGGAGCCAGCGCCCAAGCCACCCCCCATCCTGTCTCCTGTGCACAGGTGAACGGATTCAGCACCCTCGGGGAAAACATTGCTGACAACGGAGGGGTGCGGCAGGCCTACGAGGTGGGTCTCAGAGGCGGGGACCATGCCCCAACTGAGGTCGTGTCTTGCGAACCCTTGCTATCCGTACTTTGAGGCAGCGGTGCCCTGGCGAGCACCTCCTGGCCTTGGGCAGGCGGTGGCGCACGTCTCCCGACATTCCACCAATCTTAGCTGAGTGTGGAGACCACCTTCCACCTCCAGATAAGATAGTCACTGGCACACCTGCCGGCCCTGGCACGCCTGCACCTACAGCCTCACGAGCCAGCGGGCACTGGGCATCAAGAGCTTGCTCTGGGTGGGTGCTGTGTGGTGGTCTGCCTGGCAAGAGAGCCCCCACGGAGCCCCCCCACCGGTGCAGGTGCTCAGAGCTGCTGAATGGGGTGGTGAGCACTCATCCCTGGGGGTGAGCAAAGGGGCCCTAAGCTACAGAGGCTGGCTCCCCCACCTGGGGTAGGTCCTGCAGCCAGATCCCCCTTATGCCTGGAGATCCAAGGACTCTGGAGTCGTGGCCCAGCAGGCCCGGGTCCAGCACCCGTTTGGTGCCCACAGGCTTACCTGAAGTGGGTGAGGGAAGGTGGCAAGGACCAGCAGCTGCCCGGGCTGCAGATGACCCACGACCAGCTTTTCTTCATCAACTATGCCCAGGTAGCTGCCACAGTCCCTGGCCCCACCCACGCCTCCTGTTTCACATCTTTGGGGGGCCACCACGAGCTGACAAGCCCTGCAGAACCAGAAGCAGGGGGCCTGAAAGGCTTCCTGGAGGAGGAGGATGGGGGGGAGCTGGGGAGGAGCCGAATGTAGACGTGGAGGGAGGGCAGGAACCTGGTGGCTTCCCTGTCCCCACTCCACAAGGGGCAGCTGGAGCTAGAGGGGACTCCTTCCATCCCGCCCAGGGCCGCTGCCCCCTCCTCCAGCCCCCAGGCTCGCCCGTCCCCCAGTCCCGTGGCCAGGCCCCTCACGTGCCCACAGGTGTGGTGCGGGTCCTACCGGCCCGAGTTCGCTGTCCAGTCCATCAAGACCGACGTTCACAGCCCGCTGAAGTACAGGCAAGTGTCCCCGCGCCCCGCGCGCCTGCGCCCCGGCGCGCCCCGCTCCGTCTCAGGCTGCCCTGT